CAGGGAGCCGTGAGTTTAATCACACTTGGATCAAGCTGTCAGCCCAGTACACTGGAACGTACGGAATCCACCAATCGCGATCCAGTAAGATGACTGCCTAAGCGGGCTTTCCTAAGCAAACAATGTGGAACCTCCTAGTTGACTACCTGGCACAGTTAAGTACTAGGGGGTTTTGACAGATTTGAATAAGTCATTTGACTCAATTATGAAAAACGAGAAATGGAGTCGAAAAAATGCTACCGGCTTCTTCATATAGGGACTAAGAGATCAATTCATAGTTAAGGCTCTCCGGTGTGCCTAGGGATGAAGGCGATGAGGCAAACATTCTTAGAATGAAAGCCAATCATATGTGCTTAATTTACGAGTAGAAAAATTAAGAATCTGATTGCATACACCGACATCTATATCTTCAAGTAAGATCTTGATCCTGGGCGATGGCGTTTACACAACCAGCAGAGGTCAATAGAAAAGCAACTTGGGTAAAGTCATTAAGTGGATACCAGACACAGGCTCTGACCATCTATTTGGCTTTACAGAAGTAGATTATAGGTGATTGCTCAGAGATCGCCGCTTTAACCAGAAGTGCTAGGTCCAGCGCCACAAAACCTTTTCACTTCTAAACCCTCAATCCACGGCAGCAAGGGCAAGGCTCGAGTACCGGCAAAGCTCTAACCACCTGTGCTATGAAGCCTCACCGGGTGTCTTGAATTTAATCACAATTAGGTCAAGCTGTCCGTCCAGCCTACTGCAACGTACAGAATCCACTGATTTTAATAGAGTAACCTGAGCAATCAGTCTGGAATCTGCCAGGCGCACTTAATGAATAGGGTTTTTTTTGCAGACTTAAATAATTCATTCGACTCACTTGTGATAAACTCGGTGACTTCGGCGGGATACAAACCAATGACGGCAAGTGGAAGGCTTCAGTACAGCCAATACTGTAAGATATGTCGTCGCCGGGATTTTCGAGTAAAATCAACCTCACATCTGAAATAGATGCAACTCAAGTTGTTTGTAATAAGTTTGGAACTTGGCAATAATGGTTCGCTGTACCTAAGAGATAGAGATAGATACGTCTTATTTTGAAAATATCATTCCAAATTTTTCAGAAAAAACATCCTCCTTTCGCCGTGAATAAAATTAGGCACAAAAGCCACATACCACTGCGAGATCACAAACAATGTATACTGGCCGAACACTGCAATTTCCAACATCATCATTTATCACCCTTGGAGGAAGTGGAAAATGTAGAAAAAAGTTGGACTTCTTTCAAAACAGTGCTAGCGTCATACGCTAATGACCTCATTCTTGTTGTTCGAATAAACAAAGAGTGTTAAACATCGGTTTATACTTGACGCAGTAGGTCAATCGATGTATATATATATATATATATATATATATATAAGTGAGTTACATGGGACTGAAGAGTAGAAAAAATGGTGGCTCAGTTTCAAAAGCCGGTAACTCAGTCGCTCTGAAGGTCTACAGGTACCTAGTATCTGTCCTTTCAGTGCCGTGAATTTAGAAGCTAGGCTTTGCGCAAAAAAAAACCCATGAAAAATGCGGTTTTAGACTACCATTCTACGGAGGCGTGGAGCATAGTCAGAACTTTATGAAGTAAATTCAGCAAGCAGTAAGAAGCCCTTTCTTTTCCTCTGTGTTTCTCACTCTTTCTGCCCCTTCTGTAGGCATTCCACTGTACTAGGCTTGCCCATGTAATTTTCCGTCCTGTTTTTAATTGTAGAGCCGCCTCTGGGGCGGGTTCTGTAGTGAATGAACTCTTCACACCCGGATGTCTGCTAACTGCTGGAGCGAAATTGGTCCTTGGGACTCCCTCCACCCCACCGACGCATGAGTCGGGGCATGCGTCTCCGTCACCAGCAGCAGCAGTAGTGGAGA